GGGGAGGAGGGATGGGAGAGGAGGGGAGGAGAGGAGGAGGGAGAGGGAGGGGAGAAGAAGAGAGGAGGGAGGGAAGGGGTTGGGAAGAAGAGGTAGGAGCAGAGGGGGAGGGGAGAAGAAAGTGAGGAGGAGGGAGAAGGAGGAAGAGGGTTGGGAGGGAAGGGGGAGGGGAGGTAGGAGCAGAGGGGGAAGGGAAGAGGTGAGATGAGGGAAGGAGGAGGACGAGGGATGGAAGAGGTGGAGGAGGGAGGGAAAGAGAAGGGGAGGAAGGATGGGGAAAGGGAGGGGAGGAAAGAGGAGAGGGGGAGGGGAGGGAAGGGGAGGGGGAGGAGCTCAGACATCACTACAGACACTTGCCTTCAAGACACTAACAGAAAACTTGTTCTGAGTCTGAACACTTTTGACTCTTTCTCTCCCCTTTGATCCCAGCTGATTCTTGGCAGGGGGCACACACTGAGGTCTCTGCCATGTTCTAAGCAGAACACCAGCCTCCGGGCAGTCTGATTGCACCGCTGGCCCACACACGTTTGGCTGGCAGCACTGGGGGCTGGCCAGGTGGGCAGGCGTGAGCTCAGTGGTGTTGAGTCAGCCTTGCTGCACCCAGCTGGTTCCCTGGCCCCGAGGCGGCAAGAGTCGTTCTGATGTGTTTCTTGTCTGTGGGGATGTGCAACTCCAAGAACTGGCATCACTGGCTGGCAGCTGGGCCCCTTTGTGGGTGCCTGACTATGTGACATCAGCCCTGTCCCACCTGGAATCCATTTGCATGCCGAGAGGGGGTGCTTGGGGAGGACACCCGCCTCCAGACACCCCTGTGTGATATGGGGGCCTGCGGGGTCATTGCTGTCGGGAAGGTGTCCTACTGGAGCACATGTTGTCAGCTTTCCTGCTGACCATTCATGACAGCCACATGCATGCAGAGAACTGCATCCCAGGTTTCCGGCAGCTGGATATTTTGGGGAACAGACAGCCGGGTCTTTCTTCCGAGGCATCCCTGGGTGGTGCAAACCACCAGCCTTTCCGTTAGAAGCTCAGCACTGCACACTGTGTGCTCCCAGGGCTCTGTGCTCCAAGCAGGCCCTACTCCCCGCCGGCCATGGGCAGGACACTCAGGATAACCTGTGCCATGCCGGCGTGGGACCACGTGTGCTGCCCTCTCCCATCTGCCCTCAGCACAGTGGTCAGCTCCCTTCTGGCCATGGACTGGCCCGTCACCCAGACACACATCCCTTTCTGCACAGCCTCCTTGAGGCTCAGCTGGGACGTCAGTGGCATTTGCCAAACTGGGTCAAGTGCCCGTGGTGGCTATTCAGGAATCCATGTCCAAGCTTGGTCTGTCTCAAGTGCAAACAAGGCGAGACTAGAGCCTGCAAGTCCCATCAAAGGTGGATAAGAAACGGGAGCTGTTCTGCACCGTGGCACCAGCCACAACCCAGCATTCAGAGGGGGACGCAGAGCCAGAGAGAGCAAGGGTCAGTGCAGCACCCTGAAGCCAGGCCTGGTGGGCAGGACAAGGACCCTGCACTCTTGCTCACACAGCATCTCAAGAAGCATCCAGAAGGGCTGGTGGAAACGGGTCACGCTTTGGAAATGGGCTGGCAAAGCATCTCTAGTGGTTTCACAAAAGCTCAGAGAAGTGGAACAGAGGCCGTGGGAGTGGAGACTGGGAGACGTGTGAGGGAACTCCCCTAGGAGACAGAGCAGGAGGCAGCCGGAATGTACTGCCAGCAGCTGTAAACGGACTGCAGAAAGCCTGAGAGCGTGGGGTACACTGTCCAGGTTCCATAACCCCCCATACAGAAGAAGGGAGCCCAGACGGGAGTAAGGGTGCAGAGGAGTTCTGAGCCTTGGTGCTGAGAGGGGCTTGATCAGAGGCAGTGTTTCTGCTTACTGGGCTTTGAGTCTTGGGTCCCCATTCACCAGCTGAAAGTGAGCAAGATACTTGGTTTCTTTAAATCATGGTTTGAGTGAAAGTTTACCGGACACGTAAGTGTTCCGTTCAACAGTCTACACATTTTGTTTCTGGACTTTCACTGTGATGCCCACAATGGGGCACCAGTCTCCCCTCGCTCCCTGCATTCCTTGGCTTTGCCCTTCTTTCCTGCTCAAGGTCACACTGTAAGATACAGATACCTGCTTGGAATCCAACTCCACCTGACTTCAGACGCCATGCTCTTTAGCCCAGGGATCTGCCTCGCAGGCTTTTAGGTTCATTTAGGCTGGAAAAACTTGGCTCAGAGCTCCAGACAAGCATTAGAAACGTCCACCCAGATTCCAGGAAAGCCTCCACATGGGTTCGGGGGGCAGCAGCCCTCACATGTCACGGGAGGCCGCAATCAAGCATGTAACGTGACGACGACATGCCACACGGCCATTGTGTATAATGACTATTCACGACCAACCTGCAGGCCAAACTCCAACTCACAGAGCCCTCGGCCTCCGAGAACGTGTTGACTGAGATCCTGGCCATCAGTCAGCAGGAAGATCCCTCCACTGTGATCCCCGAAGTCATCGTCACCCAGCACATCCTCCCCACCTACCCAGCACCTGGCGCAGGCCAGAAGGGAATGTCAGGGCAGAGCCCAAACCACCCCCCATTCTATGTGCTTTCTTCAACAAGGGAGGGAGTGCAAACACTTCTACAGTGAGCAAGGAGGAAGACCGAGCTTAACGTGGCCGCACGTGCACTTAACCTGACACACATGCTCCTGCGGTGGAGCTCTCTCCTCCCATGCTAGAGACCCGGGTTCAACTCCCCACCAAAGCCCCTCAGGTCCGTCTGTCAGTGGAGGCTGGTGTGGTGCTAGGATATCAAATGGGTTTCAGTGGCGCTTCCTGACTAAGAAAGACTAAGAGGAAAGGCCTGGTGATCTCCTGAAAATAAAACAAAGCGACAATGAGCCATTGCCACTATGGAGTCAGCACTGATGCGTGCCATCCTCGAGCGTGTCTTGGAAGAACAAGGTGCTGTGGGGTTTCACTGGCTGATTCTGCAGAAGCAGATTACCAGGCCTTTCTCCCACGCCATCTCTGGGTGGGCTAGAACTCACAGCCTTTGGCCAAGCATGGTTGCTAACAGCACTAGCAAAAGGCTCAGTGACTGATTTTTAAACACCTATAAGGCCAAGGGAGCCCTGGTGGCCTACTAGTAAGGAGTTGCACTGTCAATCCTAAGGTATATGGTTCAAATCCACCGGCTGCTCCACAGGAGAAATATGGACAATATATTCCCACTTGACTTAAATCCTCTGAAAACTGACTGGAGGGTCAGCTATGAATCAGTTCTAACTTTATGACACATAATCTGAGTACAACAGTGTAGTGACAGTGTGATGGTGTGACTCAGCAAGGGGACCAGAGTATAACAGAGCAGTGTCAGTGTGACGGTGTGACTCAATGACCAGAGTGTAACAGTGCAGTGATGGTGTGACGACCATGGGCACGATCTCTTAGAAAGACTGCAACCAACCAAAATGAACCAAGGACACATTTGAGCTAAGCAACAGATGGGCTCATAGAATAAACATGGCACTATTACTCAGCACCTGTATGCTTGTTATGACAGAAGCCCAGAACGAAGGCTGCACAGTGGAGTGGACTTGGGGGGAGGGATTGAATAACCAAGAATTTTTTTCTTTTACTTGTCAAAAAGAAAAGCGAATGGGGGGGGGGAGGAGTGGGCAAGGAGAAAAATACAACAATGAATGAATGGAAATCCAAGGTCTCTGTAAACTTTCATCAAAATCAATTTAAAATTTTAAAAAAGTAGAAAAGAAAAAAAAAAAAGACAGAAAGAAAAAGAAGTAAGCCACATGCCTCCAAACAGGCAATGATTCCCCCACAGCAAAGGTGACAGAGTTACAGGGTGGGAATCTCAGCGACCGGACAGGAAACATCCAGGATGGACTGATGTTTCTCACTCACCGACCGCCTCTTTACCTGACATTTCACATGTACACAATAAGGGAAACTCTGTGTACCCAGCCTGTGCATTAACAGTGGACTTGCGACAGTAATGAATGACAGGGTGAGAGCTGTCCACTGTGAGGGCGCAGGCTCCGTGTCAGCGTGGCTGGGTCACGGTCCTCCGTGGGCTGGCCTTACATAATGATGAAATCTGGACGTTACATAACAGTGCCATTTAGCAGTCGCACAATGAGATTGCTGTTTCCTATTTTGTGATATGATGAGTCATCCTCTGTTGGGACTCACGGGGTTTTGCATAATGACTTGATGTGCGGGATCTAGTCGTGTTGATAAGTCAGGGATGGGTGTAATCAGAGTGCTGACACTTTGTGGAAAATGCAGCCAATGTTACAGTAATCTGACGGTTAGAGACCTAACTTACTGGGCCAGCTGTCAGTGAGAACACAGTAGGATACTTGTCCTCTTCTAGGCTGTTAATAGTCAGAGACATCATTCCTAATCGTCCATTCCTTTCAGATTGTCAAGCAATTATCACTGCAAAGGGAATTGAGGGAAGAAAACTCGAAGGAATCAATGAATGAAAACCAATCTCTTTTGGACTTTCACTAAAATTAAAAAAGAAACACATATTAAAGAATCTATAGGAAGCAAACCCTCTAGCCAGGTGTCTATCGGAAAGAAACGTCAGCGCGCCCGGAAACACGTATGAAGAAGTGCTTTAATAGCTCTAACAAAGGTCATCGCGCCCCGATTCCGAAGAGGCTCCTACGTGGGGCAGCCGTGGCCTTGCTGGGAGCCAGCGTGCCTCACCAGGGTCTCCACGACCCACTGGCTTGGCGCCGACTCTGGCGAAAGCAGACACGCCCCCTGTGCCACGCTGGCTCCCACGGGCCCTGCCTGGTGCCCAGGCCTCGTGTCGGCTGCATTAGTCGGGTTAAGCCGATGCCTCGGTTAAAGGAGACACGGTGGACCGTCAAAGCTGGAGCGGGCGGGAAAAGCACGCTGCGTACAGAGCTACGGGAGGGGGGCACGTCTGCCGCGGAGACGGGCCTTATATTGGTTTTGCCCATAAACCGTCCAGGAGGGCTCTGTTGGCCAGACCCTCTCCAAGGAACAAGCGAAATGACGGGCAGAGGTCTCAGGTGTCCTGTGCCAGCAGCCCAGGGTCTTCACGTGTCATCCACGGGCGAGTCTTTGAGGGAAACATGAAGTCCAGCTCATGCCCCTGCCTAGGGGTCGACCTCTTCGGGAACCACGGTGATCATGACGTCCTCATTGCCCCTGCGGACCACCATGTTCAGAGTGTTCTCCTTTTTAATGACATCACTGACGTCATTGGCGGAGACCACCGACTGTCCATTGATGCTGATTATGACATCGTTTTCCTTGAGGCCGCCACTGCAACACAAGGAGAAACGCGTCTGTAAGGTGTCCACCCCCTGTCCTGCCTGCTGGACCAACTGCTTAGAGCCCCGAGCCCAGAGCGGCCGGGTTGGTGGTGGGGAAGGCTCGTGAGCGTGACTCACGCTTCCATTTGCTTTTGAGATATCTAGATTAAAAAGTACCAATTGTGTTCACTTCCAAAATGCTGACTAGGACTGCTTCGGGCCGATGGCAGAAGTCACTCTGAAGAAGGGGAGCACTCACCAGGCTGGTGTGGACACGACCAGGGGGCCAAATGAGGAGCACGCAAAGTGGGGTGCAGAGCGGGGTGCCTCCAGGACCTGGCAGGACATCTCAACAAGGAGACCCTTCCCCAGAACACCTCAGCTCTGTGTGTGGCTACGTCAGCCAGGCTGCTGCCAGCCAGTACCTTCCAGGACATGGCAGCAGCCTTGTTCTGCAAAACCCCGAGACTGAACACCTGTGTCCTCTCACGCAGGTGGTCTCCACCGTGGCTACCTGTCCATGACCGTGACATCAAAGCACCCAGGCACAATGTGCAAACAAGTGGGAGTGACTGGGTCTGATACACGTTTATTTATGGACACGGAAATTTGAACATTATCATTGTCATATATCACAGATATCATTGCTTTCCTGGTTGGTCCCCCCCCCAATTAAAATATATCAGAGTGACTTACTACCCAGAAGATAAGTGGTTCGAAGCCACCAGTCCCCTCTTGGAAAACAAGTGGCAGTCTGCTTCCATAAACCCTTAGAACCTTGGAAACCCAATGGAATGGTTCCCCTCCAAGTGGGACTTGACAGTGTCAGTGGGCTTTGGGTGAGCGGCCAGATGCAGCCCTCAGGGAGTGTGCAAAGCTCTGGAAGGTTGTAACTGCTTCACCACTTGCCGTTAAGCTGACTGCCACTCGGTCCCGCCATCTGTGTCAGAGCAGACCTGCTCGAAAGTGCACAGAGGCTCACCTTTGGGAAGCAGATTGCCAGGTCTTTCTTCTGAGGTGCTTCTGGCCAGACTTGAAACTTCAGCCTCTTAGTTGGCAGTTGGATACATGAACCGTGACCCCTGGCCCCAGGGACTCTGTCCTAGCATTCGCTCTGCATATTACATCAATACCGGCTGCAGACACTGACTCAGCTCCTTCATTTGGGGCTACTTTGATGTCACATGAGGGATGGACAGGTGAGGACCCACAGCCACGTGGCTTCAGGAGGAGCTTTCTAGACCTGAGACTCATCCCCAGGACCTCCTCCTACCTTCTTAGACCCCAGCCAGCCTGTCTGAGAGGCTCAGTGACCCAGTGGCTGAAGGGAGGGCTCTGAAGGCTGGAAGCATCCTTTTGTTGACAGGGCCTGACCTGAGCCACGCCGGAAGGCCTGGACAGCAGGACTTGAGCAGGGCTGACCCTGCTTCTGTCAAAGACTCAGTCACCAGAACAGAGATGACTTAGCACGGCTCCCATCACCCCCACTGACAAGTCCCCCGACTCACGCTTCAGCTGGGGTGTCAGGAATGACCTCGATGATGTACGCTCCAGACAGCACATCGGGGAAGTCTCGGTGACGGTCCTTCAGCTCTTTGGCTTTGCTGCTTGGGGGGAAATGGCAGCCAGGTCAGCCTAGTGTGTTCCCTGCTCAGCAGACCCTCACCCAGCCTCCGCCGCTTGTCCCTGAGTCTAAAATGAACTCCTCCACAAGTTTGGATTCTACTTTAAAATTGCGCGGCTTCTAGAGTCTCAAAGATTCACAGAGCAGCAGCACGTGAAATGTTCCTCTTAAATAATCAGTAAGAGCTACAAAGCCAGAATTCTTAGAAAGGAGGGCGGGAGACATCCTCTCCTATAGTTTAAGCTGGTTATTAGGAGGACCCGTCCCTGGAGAAGGGCATTATGGGTGGTAAAGCAGACGGAGGAAGACTCAAGAAGATGGACCGACGTGTGACCGCAACAATGGGGTCACCCCTAAAAGCCGGTGAGGATGGTGCAGGACCACGCGGCGTGTCACTCTGTCATCACACAGACCTGGGAGTTGGCACCTAACAACCTTGGACACAGACTGCATGCCGGGGAGGGCGGAGGGTCAGCAGGGACACAGACCACATGCCGGGGAAGGTCCTCAGCGAGCGGACTGACACAGGGAGCAGCACAGTGGGCTTGAGTACGGCAGCGATCCTGGGGACGGCGCAGGACAGGGCATGGTTCACATGTGATGTTCTGGGGTTGCTGTAAGTCACCCAGGCGGCACTGATGGCCAGCACCCTGGATGGGTCATCACAGAGTGGGCTGCACAGCACAGCTGTTTAACCTCGTGCCGTGGCTGGACCGCTGTGCCCTAATTTCCCACCTGCAAGCCGAGAGGATAACACTACTCTACAGGGTGGGGTTGTGTTTGAATGTGTGATCCAGCGCTTGGCTCAGCACAATGTGACAACCGGCAGCCACCCTCACTGTGGCTAACGTCACTGCCACCTCGCATGGAGCACACCTGGATCCCCGCTCACTCGCCTGCCTCACTGTCCTCATCTCAGTGGGGAGGAAACGGAAGCCCCGGCTTTCCAGGAGCGCCCAGGTCACAAGCCCAGAAGCCGCACCACTCAAACTCAGCTCATTGCTGGGGACACGGAGCCGACTGGGAGCTGACCCTCCAGTGTGATTTCAGAGGCCGTAAACCGCATGAGAGGAGAGCGCCCATCTTTCTCACTTGGAGCAACAGGTGGATTCAAACAGCCTACCTTTGTGTTGGTGGTGCAAGTCCTCAACCTCAAGGCCACCAGAGCTCCCCTACCTCTCCTGTTTCCAAGCACAAATCACACGCACTTTGTCTTGGCCATCTCAGACAGTCCGCAGCATTTATCCTGTTTCAAATATCTCAACGGACATAGTCCACGCATGCTCTTCTCTTCAGCCACGATTGCTTCCCCCTCAACCAGGGCTCATGAAGTCCCAGCAGGTTTTTTTCATCAAGGGAAAAACACCAGTATTTTATGACCCTGCCAACCACATGTTGTAACTTCCACCAACTCAGGAAAACAAACCGCCCTTCCAAGCGGGCATTCCTGGGGCCGCAGCCCACTTGCTGCCAAGCTCAGGGCAGGTGGGGCCCTCAGGGGGTGGGGCAGTGCAGGGAACGCTCCCAGAACACGGGTGCCAACAGAATGAGGGGTTCAAGAAAGCAGAGAGCCCCAACTTGGGGGCGGGGCCTGCACACAGGAAGGCAGATTCTTCTGAGAAGGAAAAGCGGCCTCCGAGCCGTTAACAGAACTGCTCTCCATCTCAGCCAGTTGACGCCCGAAGGACTGAGGGCTGGGACTCAAACATGTGATACCAACGTGCAGAGCCAATGCCAAAATCCCCCTGCCACCGAGTGGACTCCCATACTGATCCTGTGGGCAGCACTTAAACAGCCCCATGGGGGCCCCAGGGCTGGAACCTCCACACAAGCAGATGGCCATGTCTTTCTCCAACAGAGTGGCCGAGGTTGTTGTGTGCCATCAAGTGGGAACCGACTCACAGCTGACCCTCCAGAGGGTTTTCAAAGTCAATCACGTGGGAGGAGACTGACCATCTGTCTCCTGTGCAGCCGCTGGTGGATTCGAACTGCGTGTCTTTGGGTTGGCAGCACATCTCCTTACCACTAGGCCAGGAGAGCTCCCTACCAGAGCAGCTGGTGGGTTACAGTGCCTCGAGGGTTTGCGTGAGGCTGTCTCCGAACCCACTGACACAAGATGAGTCTGACTCACAGCACCCCTCCCTTGGGTTTCTGTAGCTGTCAATCTTTACAGGAGGGCATTTCTCATCTTTCTCTCCAAGACCAGCTAGGGTATTCGAACCACTAATCTTTCGGTTAATAGCACAACACATACTACCCAGAGCTCCTTCATGTTCAAGCAGCAGCACTGTTCAAAACAACCAACAAGAAGAAACAACGCAAGTGTTCATTAGACAAGTGGGTGAACACGCAGCACCTCCATACAATGCTCAACCACAAAAAGGAATGCGGTGCCGATACGGACCCTGAGCCACCACCTGTGAGCCGCTTCTGACCGCACACCTTTCCTGGAGCTGACTGTCTCAGCCTTTCCCCAAGGAGCCAACTTTCAGCTTCAAATCTCCAATCTCCTAATTGGAAGCCAAACACCTCACTCAGCACCAGCAGATCCTCTCGAAGCACTGATGCGTGCTACTATCGGGACGGATGTGGTCAATGTTATGCTGAGGGAAAGCCTGACACAAGAAGGGCAAGTACTGTAGGGTCCACTTAAATGAACTCTCCAGAAGAGGCAAACCCACGGGGGCACGCAGACTAGTAGTTGTCAGGGGCGGAGGGGGATGGGAAGTGGGGGAGACTGCTAATAGGTTTAGGGTTCTCTAGTGGGGTGATGAAAATGTCCTGGAATCACATGTCATGGTGGCTGCACACCACTGCTAATGTCCCGAAGAGTGTACACTTCATGAATCTGTGTGTCTTCCTTGCACAGGGGCCATGCTAATCTTCTCTGAATCCTTCCAAGTTTAGTGTACGTGCTGCTGAAGCGAGCACTGGAGAGTACACTTTAAAAAGCCTAACAAGGGTGAAGTTTAAGATTTCTCTTTTGGAATGCCAATGAGAGTCTTTTGAAGTTCAAGTTTATTCACGTGTGGACGGGTGGCAGACACACAGCCCCACACATCCTGAGCACTCACCTGGACGTGAGTGACATCATGCGGATGCCGATGTACTTTTTCTTGGTGACAGCTTTACCTGAAGGGACAGCAGACAGCGAGGTTGGCAAGGCTGACAGGGACACCTGAGAGCCACACGTTCAAGCCCGTCAGTGTTCAGTCACAGCCACTGAGACAGACACAGGCTACGTTCTGCCCTTGCCCCACCACCGGCCCTGAGGAAGTCCCGACATTTCAGCTAGTGGCCCAAATCCGAGGAGTGGTCCTTGATCTGCGCACAACTCGCCCTGATGTCTGGTCCACCCGCCTGCTGGTTCCGTCCCCCATGGAGCTGGAGGGTGACTCCTGGGCTCCACCACCATGGCCAGCAGACAGCACCTATCACTTGGGCAAGTGGGAGACCCTCTTCGCTGGTCCCTCCCACTCGTTCTAGGACACCCTCCACTGGCCCCCGGAGTGACCTTTCTGAGATACCCATCAAATGTCAGTGCACTTAAAATGCGGCACAAGCCCCTGACCGCGTCCACTGCGGCTCTTGCTCCTCTTCTGGGGTCTACACCCTCCCTGCCTCTGGGCCCACACTGCTCCGGTGCTGCTGGACCGATGTCCATGTGGAGGCTGTCACTCTGCCTTCCCCCTCGTCCACCTGCTGGCTCTGCCCCTCCAGGCTCCAGCTTGGGGCCTTCCCTCATGAGCTGCCCCTCTCATCACTCCCAGCCAATCCTGTTTCACTGGAATCTGGAATCACCTCATTCAATCACTTAATCAAAGTCTATCCCTTAGAATGGAGCACAAATGTCACGCATATAAGGGGCCCTATTGTCCTACGTACAGCTGAACCTCCTCCTGACCCGGAGGAGATGCTCAACAAGCACTGGCGGAAGGAAGGATCGCCTTGAATCTGTTTTCTTATCAGTAAATGGGACTAATAACTCCCTGATAGGATCAAACCACAGGTCCTGGCCCTGAGATGACGTCTGACGCATACTGACCCTGTGGTGCAGGGCCGGGCCGAGCTGCCCCGTGGGGCTTCTAGGGCTGTAAATGTTTACGGAAACAGGATCCCCCGTCTGTCCCCTGTCTGTCCCGTCTATCCCCTGTCTGTCCCCTGTCTGTCCTCTGTCTGTCCCCTGTCTGTCCCCTGTCTGTCCCCTGTCTATCCCCCATCTGTCCCCCATCTGTCCCCTGTCTGTCCCCTGTCTATCCCGTCTATCCCCCGTCTGTCCCCTGTCTATCTCCCGGGGCAGCTACTGTTGTGGCCTAGTTAACTGACCCGTAGCTCACCCTCCAGCAGCTTTTCAGAGGCAGTAAATCACACGGGAGGAGAATGCCCATCCTTCTCCCATGGGGACGCTGGTGCTTGAACTGTGTACCTTTGTGTTGGCAGTGCAGTTCTAAGCCACCAGCGTTCCCTCCCAGAGGAGTCAGTGGGTTTAAACGGACAATATTGTGGTCAGCAGGTGTGCACTTTAACCACTGCACCACCAAGACCCCCCCTCCCTGAAGCCACTGTCACAGCATTAATTCTGACTCATAGAGACGTGTACAGTGAAGTGAAACTGACAGGCAGGCATCTCCCAGGACTGTGGGCAGCACCTATTACACACAAACATCCATGACCGCAGGCCAAACTGGGCACATTTCTACCACCTCAGACCACGGGGCCTCATAACACCCTGGGGCATGCTGTCCCTGGAGAGGGACGTCATGTGTGGAAACCAGAGGGTCATGGGAGGAGAGGGAGACGCTCCGAGAGAGGGCGGGACCCGGACTACAGCAGTGGGCTCAGGCCCAGCAGAGGCTGGAGAACAGCGTCGGGCCCAACAGGGCTTGTTCTACGGGACAGAGAATCCCCATGAAGAGACAGCTCAGTGACATCCAACTATGACGGCTGCTCTTAGCGTCTGTCACTTCTCCCCTCGGTCCCTGAGGGATGGCCGAGGCTCAGGGCTGGGCCCCCAGAACCCCCACTTTACCTTTGGCCTGTCTGTCATGAGACTCCGTGAGGAACTTTTTAATTTTATCCGACGGGATTGCGAAGGAGATTCCGGCCGTCACTTTCAGAGTGTTGATTCCAATCACTTCACCGTCCTGAAAGGCAAGAGGAGATGAGGTTTTCCAACCCCTCGAAGTCCTCCAGCAGGGAGTCCCGAGGGGAAGAGGGGAGCTCCCGGTGAGTATGAGCTGTCAGAGCATGGAGAGGTTCAGGGAAGCAGGCTTCATGAGAGCAGAACAACCCCCTCTGTACACACAGTCCCCTGGGGCTCAGCTCACAGGGAACGCTGCTGCTGCTATTGTTGTTGTTGTCACCAAGTGCATGTAAGCTTATTTTTTACTCAGTGCCCACATGACAGAGAAGGACTGTCCCATAGGATTTCCCAGGCTGCAGTTGTCCTTGTAGAAGGACATCATGCTTGGAAGGGTGGAGGGACAACACAGGAGAGGAAGACCACAAGTGAGATGGACTGACAGAGTGACTGGGGAAATAGGGGCAGATGTGCTGGAGACAGTGATTGGCCACTACAGGACAGAGTTCAGAGCTATAGGGTTACTATGAATGGCAGGTGACTCGATGACACAACAGCATAATAATAACAGCTTTACAGGGGCAGGTTCCCAGGTCTTTCCCTGTGGAGTTGTTGGGTGGGGCTGGACACATAACCACTGCTAAATCTACAAAATCTCAGTGGGGTCCCCAGATCCAGGCCTTTGGCTGCCTAGCCACCCTTCCTGCTCCTCCCATTCTCAATGACCTTAAGATTATTCTGCGGATACGGGGAGGAACCACCTTAGACTCAAAGCTAAAGGACTTCCTTTGCCAGGAAAAGAAAATGCCACCTCCTCTCAGCAGCAGCCCCTGGTGTGCTCTGGGGTCAGGTCAGAGGGCACCAAAGAGCCTGGCCACAGTCTTCCTCTCCTCATGGCCACCATCTCTGGGGTGTCCTCTTAGTCCAGACAGATTGACCATTCCAAGGTGGTTTCGCACAGGAAACAGCCCCCCACCCCAGCCGCAGTCTGGGTACTATTGTTTGGCTGTTTGTTCAGCTCTGCTGAGAGTCAGCAAGACGGCCCAGAGGGGATAAATCAGTCCTCACACACTTCCCAAGGCCAGAGGCCTGGTCCATGAGCATTGCCCCTTACAGGGGGCCAGCAGGGGCCGTGCTACATAAGCCTCCGTTTTATCTTCTGGAAACAAGACAGCAGAGCAAGGAGACCCCTGCTTAATCAGTCTGCGATTCTAAGGCTTCATATTTTCTGCTTCAATTATTTAAGTGCACACTCAAGTGACAGCTTTACTGACTGAGAAACTCCTCCATTCCAGCCAGGCCTTCGGGGAGGTTCCTGGCCAAGAAAAAGAGCGTAGAGAAGCAGCTCGAAGGACAGCCAGTCTCCGACAGGCTCCAAATCAAAGGCTGCTCCCTCCACGGCTCCTGGCAGCACCTGAGTCCTGCTGCCCTGACTGGCAGAGACGTTCCAGTTCTTAATTCTCATGAGATCCAAAGAAGCCCTGGTGGCATCGTGGGTTACATGCTGGATTGTTAATTAAACAGCAGTGGTTCAAATCCACCAGCCTCACCACGGGACGAGGGTGAGGCAGCCTGCTCCCTTGAGAGCAGCCTCTGAAACCCAGTGGAACTGACTGGACAACAGTGAGCCTGGGCTTCCACGAGGCCTAGACAACTTCAGGAAGGTCGTTTACAAGCATGCAGGATGCACACCACACTCACTCAAAAGGCAGTGAGGCAGCAGGCACTGGTGGACTCGTGATTGAAAAGAAGAAGAAAAAAGAGCAAAGCAGAGCATGCACACGGATGAAAACGGATGTGGGAGGACAAGACTTACCAGGTTTACCAGTGGGCCTCCCGAGTTCCCATACTGAAATGAAGCAGAAATGAAAAGGTTATAGATTTACGTCCCAGGCACCAAACCATCAACTCTCGGCTGCGGGGTTCTGGTTTTCAGGGTAGCGCCTGAAGCACAGAGTGGGATTCTTTCTGGAGTTTTCTTCTGGTAAATATAGTATTTTTCTGGAAAAGGAAGACTCTAACAATTTTCACTAAGTTTTAGATGTACCAAAAAGAAAACTCTCTCTCTCTCTCTCTTTTTTTTTTTTGGTTCTGAAACCCGAGACTGACTAGACTCTTAGTGTCCATCACAACTCTTCCCTCTTATTAAAGGTGCTGGGCATGAGCACGTGGATGGACGGTCACCTGCTTGCACTTGCCCTTGTTGCTGATGTAGCCATTGGGTTGGCCTTGAATTACGGCAAAACTACATCATCGTCGACCTGGTTTTCACTCTCTGATTCCCTGAAACAGAATGCCAGCCCTTTCCTCCTGGTCTGCCTTGGTCTAGAAGCAGCACTGAAATATGTTCGGCCTCATGCTGTTAGATATCATTGAATGATTCCGACGTGCCATCCTCACAATCTCTGCTGTTGCTGAGTCACCATGTCGATCCCTCTCATTGAGGGTCTTCCCCTCTTACCCTCTACATTTCCAGGCACGATGTCCTTCCCAGGGACGGGCCCCTCCGCATCAAACACGAAGACCTTCAGAGGGAGCACATGAGGTGCACTTGTCTAGAACTGAACCTATGTCTCCCACTCAGGAGGCAAAAATCCTACCACTAACCCTCCAATGTCCACACTCGCTGCAGCCTCGTGGTGTTTCAAAGCAGCCCCATGGGGGGTCCTCTACTTTGCTGCTGGGTTTGAGCCCACGTGCTTAGCTCCACTTTGGCTGCTTCATGAGCCGGCCGCGCTGTACACAGCGAGGCACACAACACACTGTGAGTCTTATTTAGTGGACAGACAGAGGGGGCACGCTGTCCAGAAAGGTCAGTTCTACCCCTGAGCTGTAACGAAATCCCATTGAGAAACTACTTGGAGCAGCTTTGGCCTCATTATGCCTGTGGACGGAGAGGCTCACCCTCTGCCCTCACACTCGGGACTCGGCCACTGGCTGGAAGGACAAGTAGACAGGAAGTGGCCAGACTCACCCCTCAGCAGCGTGTGGAAACTGTCCCCAGACACGTGTCCCTCCAGCCAGAATGCTGCTGAGGGGCTGCAGATGCCCACTGGCGTGGCCCAGAGCAATAACTCACTACTTTAACGGGGGGAAGAGGGGGTACCTTCCATCCAGAATGCTGCTGAGGGGCTGCAGATGCCCACCAAGGTGGCCCACTGGTCATTATCTCCTTTGACTGGGGCGAGAGGCAGCCAGAAAGTGCTAGTGAAACCTTGTGTTGCTATTAAAGGCTCGATGTCAGCTAACAGGTGAGGCTTGGGCCTCAGCCTCTCAGCCTGTGGGGGTTCCCTTCCGAGTCCCCAGACCACAGGGCAGGGCCCTCCCTCCAGCCCGGTTCCCAGAGGGACTCACATTGATGATGGCGTCTGTCTGGATGTAATCCATGTCTGAGTTCCGCAGCCCCAGCTCCTTGCCACCTCGCTGGGTCGTGCTGACGATCCCCGTGGTGACCGTGTTTTGAAGGGAGAACGGGCTGCCGATGGCGACCACGAACTCCCCAGGCCGCAGCTCCGAGGAGCGGCCCAGCAGCAGGACGGGCAGCTTGCCCTGTGGACACACGGGCCGTCGCTGGTTAGCACGAGAACCCAACAGCACGGTGAGCTGTTCTCAGTTAACCCAACAGGACGGTGAATCACAGGCAGCGAGACCCCTAACTCCACATTACAGATGAATCAGAGAGCCCGGGGCCACCTTCCAGACAGCCACTCAACATCAGGCCACCGGGAACCGAGTCCATGACTAGCAGCCCTGCCTGGCTAGGACTGGGCTTCCTTCTCCACAGAAATCATCAGAAATGTGTCTTGGGGTGCAAATGCAAAAGTGCTGGGCTGCGAACAGAAAGGTTAGAGGTTCAAATCCACCAACAGGTACCTTGGAAGAAAAATTTGGTGTGTGAGATCCACTGGGGCACATCTGCACTAGGTATGTGATGATCTGTGAGGACACACCTGTGCTAGGTGTGTGACAATCTTGGGAGCATATCTGTGCTGTGCAGTCTGTGGGACATACTTGTGATCTGACAGATCTGTGCAGGGGTTGGGGAGGCAGGATAAGGGTGAGAGGAAAGTATCCAAGGACCTGAGACCCCAAGACCAGCAGACCTCTTTCCCAAGAGGCCCTCTGCAGCCTGTAACCTGGTTAACTCAGGGACTCCTGTTCCTCAGGGCTGAGAAAGACCCCAAAGATCCCAAAAACCCAAACTACTCTTCCAAACGGGGTGAATCAGCCTAGACAGGGCCAGGCCTGAGGATCTCTGGGCAGCGGCGGAGAGAATCGCCCATGTCCACAAGGGGAGGGAGTGACGGAGCAGGGGGCAGGATAAAGGGGAAGGGCGGGGCCACGGGGACAGCAGAGTGTAGTGGGCAGGTGGGGAAGCGAAGGAAAAGCAGATTCAGTGGGGACTCGACCCGATGGGAGATAACAGGCCCAGAGCACCAGTGACTGGAGGTATGAACTGTGTACGGACGGCTGCGTGACGCACAATGTGAATGAAGGATTGTGCAAAATAGTGAACATGAATGAAACATAATGTAAACAAAAAGACTTAAAAACAGAAGAGAGAGAAAGAACATCTCCCATAACACGGCTTCGGACCTTTGGACACGGTAACTCTGTCCCACGGGGACTCACACTTGTCCCCAGCACGCAGAACCGTGATTCAGAGCGTTTCCATCACTGATACTCTGGGACACAGATCACCAAGGCCTTTCTTCTCAGGTGCCCCTGGATAGACTTGAGCCTGCAACCTTTCACTTAGGAGCAGAGGGCACCATCCAGAGACTCTAGAATCAGCTTTAACATCTATAAAAACCCAGGAGGGAAGTCTGCCAATTGGCACTGTGTCCTGTGCCCTACCGCCCTGCACCCAGGACAAGGCTGGGGTCCCCTGTGTGATCCCCTGAGCCCAGGAGTCAGGGGTGCTGGAGCCCACAGCATGCCCTGCACCGCCCTCCGCGTCCATGGTACCAGCAAGCTCTGTGCATGGTGTTTACCCTGGGCTCACGCCAGCAGCAATGCCACAAATGACCTCATTTACAGAAGTGTGAGGGAAGGGTGGACACCTCTGCCTGCTTCAAAGACAGGGTCATCTTTCAGGGCCAGGACTGGCTGGCCTGCTGGACCACTGAGGTCTGCAGAGTAGTGATGAGGGGTGGGTGAGGGGGCTGGGCCAGCCTGGCTCCCGAGCAAACAGCCTTCTTCTGAACCCGCCTAAAGGCTCCAGGACCAAGATCAAATACAGAGCTGGGTCCAGCTGCAGTCCCAGCTGGGATTCACATCAGAGAGGAAGGGCAGGGCTCCCCAGAAGCTCTCAATTAGTGCCTAGTTTATGCCCTACGCCCTCCTCCACCACCCTCTAACCCAGAAGGGCAGCCAGAGCCCCTCTCCCAGGCCCCAAGGCTGCAGAGGGCAGGGGGCCCACAGACCACTCCCCCAAGTCCTATTTCCAAAGCCTACACAGATCCAGAGGGCAGGAGGCAGAGACCACAGGGGCACAGGGAATGAGGTGTTCACTGGGAGGACCATGACTCCCAGGGGACACTGGAGCCCTAAGAACCCACAGACAAGCTTGTCATGAGCACAGTGTCACTCGCACCAGGGAGACCACACACACGTGCAGTAGATGGACCAGTGACACACTCAGAGGTCTCCCCAAGAACACCAGAGGAAGACATGCAGAGACATTAGGAGGTACACAAAGAGGTATCTAAAGGCTGGCAGTTCAAACCTACCCAAAGGCACCTAGGAATACAGGGCTGGTAAATCAGCATTGAAAACCTTACTGAACTTGGTTCGTCTCTGACACGCAGGAGGTGCCTGTGACGTGACTGCAGCTGGTTTACTTTCTCATTCAGTCAAAGCTGCGTCAAAGGGCAGCATCATCACTTAAAAGCATCTTGAAGTTTTTACTCAAACAATTCAGGTTCTCTGAGCAATCACAAGACAGCACCGAGAAAGTGGATACACATCCAGGCAGCGTGTGCAATTTGTGCAGTTGTACGCAAAATTGTCCATGGGAAAGGTGTGGAACTTTTAGCTCCTAGAAGACAGAGCCCTTACCTGACAGTCTCATGAGTCAGCATAAATGCTCCCATTTCACGGATGTGGAAACTGAGTCTCAGAGTTACTTTTTATAACCAGTGGTCACCTGCCTAACTCTCTGACTCTCATCTCCAGCATGTGCCAACTTCAAATTCTAACCAGGCAGAAACTCTTTGCAGGGAGTGACACGATAGAGAGATGCCTCTGGGGACAGATTCAGGGCGTGTGGTTCTGAGTCCCTGCAGGCGCCGGCTGGCCTCACAAGCCTCAGAAGCTCCAGCCGTGGTCCAGCCTGCGGAGGGAAGATGCTCTCCTCGGCTGTCTGCTGTGCAGTACTACACTACGCTGGCCACGTTCCTACGTGGTCAGTGTGCATTTCATCCCTGTGGCCCCCCAGAGGGCTGGAGGATGAAGCACCCACATGGCTGTCGGGAAGAACCCCGTTCTGGCCGTGACCTGCAGGTGGCTGGGATCTTTTTACCACTCTTCCCTGGAATGACGTCGCCTGGCTGTTCATCTGCCAGCTGTCTCAGGGAGCCCACCAGTGCCAGTCCCACCCAAACAACTATACCACACCTCTCCCCATCTTGCGGGAAGGCTAGGAGGCAAATGAGGGACCTCCACCCTTCGCTGGACCTCTGAAACAACAGAAGAATAAGGGGATCCTTGTCTGTTGCTCAAGGTCAGAGCCACAGACCTCCACTGGGGAATGAAAAAGCTAGATGGGATATCAGCACAAAGAGTGAGCTCCAAAGTGACAAGAGAAAGCCTCAAGGTGACATCACAGAGCCAAGAAGGAGACCTCAGATGCCACCAAGAAAGACACAGCTCACGTCGCTGCAGAGACCTTCTGGGATGCAGGGAGATCGCTGCCGAAGGAAGTGCTCCAGGCTCTCAGGCAGGCTCAGGTGAGGAAGAGGGAGGTGAGGGGCCAGTGGAGAGGAGGGGACATCCAGAAGAGGGCACAGATGGTGTGTTCACAACACAAGAGTGACGCTAAGGAAACATGCACTACCCTCAACACCCACACTGTCCCCACGGCCACCAGGATGGCGGAGGGTCAGCCCAGGTGAGGTGTCAGAAGTATCGAGTGTGGACCCAGGTTACTAGAGGTTAAGTCACTAAACACCAATTGCAGACAGGACATAGAGCCAATGCACGTGGGAGAGCTTGGTCTGCGCGCTCATTAAAGAAGGCTCTGACCATTCATTAGGTTCAAACAAACCAAAACAAACAGGTCAGCAACAAGCAGGCGGCACTGTGCTCCTGGGGCCTGGCCCTCGTGAGGGAGGACTTGCCCACAAGTGTCCACTGGGTGTCTCCTTTGCGTGGTTCCAGGACTATGAGATCGATGCAGTCTGCCCTGCCTTCACTGAGGACACACACCCCATTGGGACACGGTGATATGGAGACAAAGCCCATCCTTCTCCACGTCCAGACACAGCCTCAAGGCCCCCATGAGGGACAAGCACCCATCAACACTGCAGTGATCTGTACGTGTCAACCAGGGTGTTTGCACCTGCAAGTAACTAAACCTGGCTCAAAGTGCCAAGATGTCCACCTGACTGAGAGAGGGAGGCGTCACTGTTGGTGACTTCAAAGGCTCGGGGTTAAGAGCCAGGGCAGACCACCTTCTCTGTCTGATCCATTTATGCCTGTCCGCATGGTTAAGCTGATCACACCATAGCAGAACCACATAAAGAGGTGACAATGCCTAGTGGGAAATAAAGGCCTCTCCTCCTTAGAGGGCCTCTTCAGAAGACAAAGGGAGCCCTGGGGGCTTAGCAGCAAGGAATTGCACTGCCAACCCAAAGGCACATGGTTCAAACCCTGCTCCACAGGGGAAAAGTGGGCAATTTCCTCCAATGTGATTTGCTGCCTCTGAAAACCCCTGGGAGAGTCTCCTATGAGTTGATTTCCACTCAGTGGTACCTAACAACAAGAAGACCACTCAGAAGCCTCCAAACACCCCCCTTCACAGGTCACTGGGCAGAATTAGGCGTTAAGGTTCTCCCCAGACCATTCACTGATGAGAAGAACATGGTCTTTCGTCAGGATTAGCCCGTCCGTGCCCTCTTCAGGCTCTATGCCAGGCCCAGGCCCACTCTTACAGCCACAGTGTCACCAGCCAGGTTGGTGAGGGACATGCTCTCTTTCCCTGGCCCCTCCCACTTTCCCAGCAGGATGTCTTAAGTAAATCTAATTACTCCCCAAAGTGCTGATGGGGGTCATTCCATCAGCTGAGATTAAAAGCAAAGCCAGGTTTCCTAGAGTAGGAGGGAAACGGTGCAGGGTTACTGACCGGCCACCTTATCCATGGATTTGGGCTTGCCAGACTCCGCAAAGCTGTGAGCTCATTTGTTAAAATAAAGATCTCTCTAGATAGATGGATGAGACAGAGGGGTGATGGCTTTCACGTCCAGTGTTGTCGTAGGAATACGGCACACACAAGTGGAAACTCCCTCACGAGGGATCCGTGGGGTTTGCAGAAACCACAACGCAGACAT